AGAGGCTTTCAAAGGGGATAATTCGACGATGGGCGGATGGGGCAAGCCGCGTCAAAAAGCTTTCGAGGATCCACGGACCAACTTCCGGAGCACGGCTGGCAAAGTCAATGTCTCTCGGCATTCACGGGCGGGGAGAGTCGTGGTCTCGACCACAGGAATGCGCGGCTTGAAATACCGCATGGCGGATGAGTCTCTGCTATCATCCTTCATTAGCCAGTCGGTCTTCGCTGCGAACGTTCGAGAGGGTTGCTCGGACGAAACCCCGATGAGACAGACGATGAGAGAGAGAGAGAGAGAGAGAGAGAGAGAGGAAAGGACAGTGAATGTGCTAGCTTTTAATCTTGGAAATCTTTAGGACGTTTGGCGACGACCAAAGGGAAACTCTCTCTCGTCGAGGCTGTGTCAGTCGGTTCTACTCATTTCCAGACTCCTCGATCCTTCACCCTTCGATAATTCTGTCTCTCTTTCTCTCTCTCTCTCTCTCTCTCTCTCTCTTTGCCTGGCTACTTACGCAAACATCATTCGTAGATTTCTAGGCAGAGCAAAGAAAGTATCCCCGCGAGCTCCTCGAGTTTACGGTCGAATTAAGGATTTACGCGGGGTAATTCAGCAGTCGAGGCAAATCTTGCACGAGAGCAGATAGAAGGGGAACGAAAATAGAGAGAGAGAGAGAGAGAGAGAGGAGAGAAAGAGGGAGAGGGCTCTCTTGTGCCAGGACCAATTATCGATGTCGGGGTCAGTTTTTCGTTTATAAAATTTCGGGACCCTTTCTGAGAAAGTTCACGACACGGTTCGTTAAATGGAACGTTTATGAAAATTTTCGTTCGTCTACGGTCTACAAAGTTCGAGGCGGCTCAAGGAGTCGCCGTTCGATCGGCAATCGAATTATTTTCCAAAATTATCGCCAGTTTCCCTTTATCAGAGATGATGATTAACCGCGAAACTTTCTTTTTGTAAATTCGGTCCTCGAGTAACAGTTACTCGCAAGTTCTGTGACTACAAGAATCACGTGTTGTCACTAGTTAGGAAAGATGTTGATTTTCTCGAAACCTCTTCTCCTGAAATGTTATTCAGTCGAAATACGAACAAAATTTTCGAAAAATACACGGAACACACTGTCTAACTTATTTTTATAATTACAACGTACGCAAATTGGTTCCAGTCGATGAATTCACGAATTCAAAGACGAGTCAACAGTCGAAGGGGAAGAGAAACCACGTGTCTCCAAAGTTTGGACGCGATTTGCGTAAATTTTATTACGTCTTACGTGTGAACGGGACACGTTCTAGGTGAAATGTGCGTACAAATTAGATCAATGGGTCAGCTTGAGAAGCTCGTCGAAATTAATATCCGTTCAGTTAGTTGCCGGGGAGAGACTCGATACCGAGAGGTATCTACGATTCATGATCGTATCGCGGCGTACAGTGACAGCCGCAAGTACGGATTAAATTAACGTACTGTTTGGTAGCTGGATAACAGAACCGTGACCTGCGGTTTTGCAATACGTTCCAATTTTTGCTCGATTAAAAAGCAGACGTGTTCTGCATGTAGCGACGCGCAATTCCGTTGTTTGAATCACTCGCGGAAAGGATAATCGTGAAAAACCACGTTACCGAGAAAATAACTCTGTCCACTCCCTCTCATAAATTTGTTATTATGCGCTAACAGAAATTTTCGATACGCGTGTTACCCGACAAAAGATTTTTTCGCGCAATTTAATCGCGCGTCACATTTTCAAATAAAATACGTCGGAAGTTTCCTTTGGAGGTTTCCATGCTCTAAGACACGCACGCCATGAAACGTTTCGGAGCAGATAAAGCTACGAGGCGCGTTATCAATATCGATTTCTCCGCGAAAATCGGCACGTAGCGCTCGCTTATCTTCGATCTCGCGTTACAATAACTCGCGTGCAATACTCGCTTCCATGGTATTTACGTATCTTCGATTACGCTGCTTAGCAGCACGCGTGACGTGTAACGTCATACCCCGAACGCAGGTCCGTTCGTTCGAGAGCCGTGGGGAGAAATCGGAGAATTCAGCATCATGATTGCGAGAAACCCGACGTCCAATTTCTCCGTGCAACCGATAATGAAACAAGCTCACCGCGCGAGAAACAACCGTCTGCGATACAACTCGGGCAACGGTGGGAATCAACAACGAGACGGGGCAAGGGGGAGGGAATTTTCGTTTCGCCGCTGGCCAAGCTGGCTGCGAAACTCGCGCAAGAGAAAGTGGGAAGGGGACAAGAAACGAGCAACTCGACGAGAGGTGCCGAGCCTCGGTGTTCCCTACGGCCTCGGCATCAGCAATTTCGCGTGGAACGAGACGAAAAAGTGGCGCGCAAATTCGCATAACAAGGCGGACAACCGCGCAATTAAAATTACGTTCGCGCGACCAAAGAAAGCGAAACGCCCGACCAACAAAAAACCAAACGAGAATTTCGTGTCTCGTCCCCTACCACCCCCTCACCCCCCCCCCCCCCCGCCGGCGGCGGCTTCTGGGGTCGCGCGGCGGCGTCGTGCGTGTTGAAAAATTTCTTGCGGAAAGAGCTCTCCCGTCCTTGCTGTTCACCGCGCGAGAACGCGTAACACACGCCATCGGTGGACCGCCTCTCTCTCGCGTGTACCACCATCACCCTCGGCCCGCTACCTTTTTCCCCAACACCCCGTCGAAACACGTACGCACACTTCCTCCAAACCACACATTTTCCAAACACGACTGCGTGCATATACACGGCGAAGTGCCGTACATACACACGATGAAAAGAGAGGGGCCCTGGACTCGGTGGCTCTCGACTGGCAGAGAGGAAGCCAAGCAACCAGCCAGCCAGTCAGCCAGCCAGCCAGCCAGCAGCCGGCTGCCCGACCAACCAACCAACCAACCATTCCACATTCCATTCGACGGTTCTCTCTCCCCCGGCACATAATGAAGTCAGTCCCGGCGTTCTAAGCCCCGGTAATATCGTGTGGCAGGGCCCTCCCCGAGATAATATTGGTGATGTATGCTAACGGGCTTTTCGGTACCGGGCTACGTCGTTTTTACGTCCCTTTCGTACCGGCGTGTCCTCCTAAATGATTTACCGCGAAAAAGAGAAGGCGCGCGAGGTTCGGTCACTATCTCTGCTCGTCCACCTCGCCACACCACCGCCTGCCCCCTTCCGGCTAAAGAAAAAAACCTCGCTCTTTTAATCCCACCTCCGCGCCCTCCACGGTGTCCATGTATACCGGTGGCGAAAACTGATCCTGTTTTTTTTTTTTTTTTTTTTTTTTTTTCACGCGGCCATTGAAAATTCCAGCGAGAGTAAACCACCGGCTCGGAGACTTCGTTAACCTTCGTCCACCACCGACAGTGTCTGCGGGGGTGGTCTTTTGCAGGCAAGGGTCGCAGCCGGACGACGCGAAATGTTTGAAAGTTGGCGATTTATACGGGTTGCAGACCACATTGTTCCCTCGAGCGCAAGGGTCGGCCGGTATTTAGAGCGGCCGACAGAAGTGAAACTCATAATATTAATTAATGAAAGGGTATTTACGCGGCATTAACGACACATTGTTCCGCGAGATTTCGCGACGTCGAGCACTCGACTCGCCAGCCAGCGGCTGCAACGGAACCGTTATTGCCCGGCATAATTAACGAAAAGTTATTAACATTTTGAATCGACCCTGCGAGAGCTATCGTAACACGAACGCGAACGTTAACGCCCGGGCATCTCGGCCAAGTTTCCCTCGGCCGGAAAGTTCCCGATATTTTAATTCCAAGAGAGGAGACAAACGCCTTCGGAGAGGAACTCGGCGATAGTCGGTGAAAATGTTCGCCGGTGGGACACCGTATAGAGAAACGTCCGGTGGATTTAAGGGAAGATTGACAAACTGTGTGTACCCTACTGATGAATTCTGAACGCGAGTCGGTAAACAGAGATGCTCGAACGGAAAGTTTAAGCCCGTTGAAAAAGCCCCGGGATTTTTCCAAGTTGCGGACGTACAAGTATCACGTTTCGTACGGCGGTAAATGGCCGGGCCCGATTTTTATTATACTACGGGTGTTTCTCAAATTCAATTTCTCCGTGTTTGCAACGCTCCGTTTTACGAACCTACTTACGTACGCTTCACGGCAGTTTAATGCGATTTTGCACGTTCTACGGAATCATAGGAAATCACGTACCAACCACCGTCTACAAAGAAGTTTCTCCGTCACGTAGCGAGAAATTCGTTAAGACAAAGATTCGAAAATTTGGAAAGCCAGTTGCTGGCCCGAAGATTTTTTAAACCGATAGAAAGATCTTGTCGGTTTTAACCTGCGCGAGATGGTTGTCTAACCTCGAATTATGTGTTTCACGTACGTTCGCGAGTACTCCGAAAAAACTTCCACGCTCCCTTGAATTAAACTTGCTCGATTGGTACTTTACAACTCGAAGGAGTGAAATTTAATTGAGTTGGACTTTTAAAGACTTTTAAATACATGCGAAAATACTTTGGTTTTAACTACACTTATATCGGACTGTTGCGTATTAAATTCTGCTTCGAAATAGCGTGAAGAAAAGGAAATGCATATATACCTGGATGGTTCGTACGCGCAGAAAATTGATATTTATTCGTATACATACATTTCAAATTTTACCTCGACAAGATTTACTATGCATTACTCTAGCAACTCCATGTGGACGACATACTATGTACATGTTTAGAACTCCGCATTTGAATACTTTCTCTTTTACGTAAATCTTTTCCTCTAAATAGGAAACACGTTCGGAATTACCTACAAAAACCTCGAAACGTACTATCAACGTACTATCTACGTACTATCAACAAAACTCTCTACATACACACATTATATTCATTCGACTTATCGGTCGAGCCACGAGATACGATTCGTTCATGTAAATATAGCGTCGTTTCCCAAATGTACGTCCTTCCGCAATCAGTGTCAACAGAGGAATTCCACGAAAAAGAATATTTTCCTATTCTACGAAAAAGATAGTGGAACGTATCGTGGTGTATTCTAACCTTTATGGTGCCTAAGATGAGATCGTCCGCAGCAAGGTTGCTCGAAGTACGCGTGGCCGGGATGCGCACCGGCGGGCCTGCTCGCATGGCTCGATCCCAGGAACAGTCCTAAGACAGCTGCGAGAACAGCTGCTCTCACCAGCAGCGACATGGCATCCGGTAATCTTCGTCGTTGCATCCTCGGGCACGATCCACGGAATGGACACATGCAGACTCAGCTGGACACTTGAGGCGCGAATTTCAAACGGGTAGCGTGCGCGCAACGACGCTAATCGACCAATAGCATTACGCCACGGAGCGTGGACACGCGTGTTGAGATCGATGGGAAATTGCGCTTGCAGGTCGAGAGAGAACGAGGAGAGAGGTCACTGACAGGTGAAAATAGCGTTGAATTCGACCTGGCCTTGGTTAACAGCGCGCAACACTCGTGGCGTGGTTGTTGCCCTTTGCCGTTGGCAACGCGCTGACGGACGTTCACCGATGCCACAAGGCTCGTTTTCACTGTCCGTCTCGCTCACCGCCGATAGCGTCGTCTCTCTTTCTCTTTCTCTCTCTCTCTCTCTCTCTCTCTCTCTCTTTCTCTCACACGCACGCCAGGTATACACGGTCGACGAGGTACAAACTCGACCGTGTGCTGCGCTTCCTTCTCTCCCTTCCACTTCGGGCCGATTCGTTCGCCGCTTCTCGTCCACCGGCTTCACCCAGGGCTCGCTTCGAGGACAAAGGAATTCTTCCTGCGCCTCTCTTTTTTCCTGCTCCAAGAACGACGCGCCAGTACTACCTCGTGTCTTCGCAGTATTCTCGGCCGCAGGTAGAGGGCCTTGAAATAGGGTCGTTCGACAGGCACCGGATACAGGGCTAACAACGTCGACAAATGCAATCGCCTGTGATCCTTCACTTTCCCTCTTTTATTTCTCCTCTTCGATCTGTCCTCTTCTCTTCTAACATCTGCACTCGCGTCTCGTGGCACATGCGAACGCGACCGTGGCCACGCAGAGTAACTACAAAGAGAGTAACATTCGCAAAGGTCGCGCGACGAGGGAACGGAAACAACTCTCGGAAAGCGTCGTTTTCAAGGCTCGATATCCGTGACGAACGTTTCTCGTTAAACATTCAACAATCCCTCCTATCGACGCAAGGCTCTATATCACTGACGTCCGTGGTACACTTTCGTTCGCGCCATATTACGTCACTGTCAACGCGATGCACAACGCCGCGCGCGATCGTTGAACCGACACACGGTAAAAGCGTACGCGCGCACGGAGAAACAACCGAGGAAATCGTGGGCAACTAAATATAAAGAGCGCGTCGCGCGACGTCACATCTGTTGCTCGGGCCACGACCTAGTCGCCAGATTTTCGTCCCGAAAACGTACGAGCCAGCCTTTCCCTAATCCCGTGGCATCAGGATTGTCAAACGTTCGGACGATTGTCACAACATGGTTCCGTCTCTATCGGCGAGTCGAGAGAGAACACGCGTCCCACGACGCTTTCTCACGGCGAAACGGAGCGCTACGAGCAACACGGACTGCATAAACCTCCCTCTATGGAGGCCGCGGCACGACTGTACCCTCGTATGCGAGTTGCCGCGTTCACAGGCGCTCGGCCGCGCTCGGCAAACTTCGACTCCCCTCGGCCAACGCTGCTCGTGCTCCGCTGTACTATATGATCCACGCTCTACGTAGTTCCTTCCAATCGGAGTCACTCGTCGTCTACCAGTTTGAACGAATGTCCGAAGAAGCGTTACCCCTGATATTTCTCTTAACCCTCGCCCCGCGGGGCGCTTTTTATAGCTCGTATGAAAAATTTTCGACTACGTGGGGCCAATACGGGCACACGAACAGACGAAACTGCTATTCGGAGTTGTGGACGCTCTCTCTGAGGAGCACTACTCTTGCTGCGAACGTTTGAATTATGAAGTATTCCCGACTTACCGTGAAACCCTGTTATCTACTGTGTGTTGCGGATTTTTCCGTATCATGAGTCCTTGATACCCTTTATCCGACTCCTTCTTCTTCCTCTTCTCTTTCCAGGCAGGTAATTTGTTTCGAACCGCATGGCCGCATTCCCACTCGTGGTTAATACACGGTGTGTAAAGACGATTGCCATATATCGTTTTATGACGTATTATAATATGACGCAAGTACGAGTTATAATACGAGTTATTTTCGTTTCGACAACGTTCAACTACGCGGAACTTTTTCGATATATTAATACAAATTTAGTTCTGGTTAAGTGACAAGTCTGTATCTCAAAATTTATCGTACAAACTGTCTACCTGCGATAAGAAAACACTCCTACGCACGCTTAAATGGAAACTTCGGCAGCGAGAAGTTTCGCAAGAATAATTAGAGTTCGCTTAATTATTGACGGCATTACAATTAACTGTCTAAAATACACGTTGCCGTGTGTGTGTTTCTAGATAAAATAGTTTCGGAAGTTAAATAAAATACAAGTAACTTTAAGAGTCAGCGCGCAGTGAACTAACGAACTGGAGAATGTTCCTTCAAATCGGACATTTTCGTTGCACTGTCACGGAACATAATTTTTAATTGTCCAAATACATCAATAATTATATTGATAATAAAAATATCAATAACAAATGGTGTTTAACCTATTAAAAATTTCATAAAGTAATTTCTCACTTCGATTCGATCGAATCGTTTTTCTCTTCGATTCACAGTTGCGCACACATACGCACAGTGTATGTAGGTAGGACGTAGACGCGTTCGAGTACGCAGCACTCGAGTTTAACGAAATCAATGTATCGAAACACGTCGTAACGTATTCCCTGGAGGGTCGAAGGCGAAATTCAAAGCCCCTGAAAAAGCGCGGTACGCCGTCAACGGCGTGATCATCGATGGTATAGCCCGGAGGTGAGGCATAGACCGGGCGAGCGCGCGCGTGTTCATCCGTCACGGTACACGAGGAGAGTAGCGGATTCTATGAATAAGTCGATATGCTAATGCAAAAACCCTCGAAGTTAGCTGAGCCAAGGCTGAGCTGACGGGCAAAGAAAGTTGCAAGGTATATCCGGCCCGTTTCGTTACCTACAAAGTGTTCCTCGGCCAAGCGCGAAAGAAGAGACAATTTTGTATCATCCGGCGGCTGCGGTGCCGCCATTACCACCACGCTTGATACAGGCCACTCCCTTTGTTGTTTCCCCCAGAAAAAGGAGAGAAGCGGGTCCTAGTAAGACGTAAGGGAAGTCGTAAGAATTTTAGAACAAAGGAAGAGAGCCGAGTCCTTACAGAAACCTGGCTTTTCTTAACTCTATCTCTCTCTCTCTCTCTCTCTCTCTCGCGTTCTCCTTTCGCCCTGTCTCCCAGCTACGAACGAGGAACTAGTCGGTTGCACCGCGGCCAACAAATCTACCAGCCGCTATCCCATTTCATTGAAATAGTTTAGAATTGCATGAGCCGCCCCTGCTCCTTTTCCTTTGTCGTTTCTTACCGAGTCAACGAATCCCCTTCTCTCGCGTCGCTTCTAAGCGCGAACGTTCAACCTTTCTCCCGTTTCTCGAAAGAAGATCGTTGGAAGAACCGTAAATTGTTCGTATATACGTGACTTGTACCGCGGTTAGCATCTGGAATATAAATTGTCAGCGTACGACACGAACAGACATTCGGATCTCGGCTGGCTCGCGAGCCGCCGAGTGATCCCTGTGAAGGAGCTCTGTCGAAAACGCTTAGACCAATTTATTCCCCCAGATTGAAACTTTTAAACTACAATCGTAATTTTCGAGATATCCGTATCTTGGTGAAACGTAATCGAAACGCTTGGCAAAGCGTTCTTTAATTTCTGCCGAAAACACTTGGACCAATTTATTCCCCCAGATCGAAAACTCTGAACTATAATCCTAATTTTTATTTTAGAAAAAACTTACGAAGTCGAGATTACTTTGCGAGATGCCCGTATCTTGAAACGGTGAAACGTAATCGAACGTTGGTAAAGTGGCGTTTGAGTATAAAGAGGGGATTGCAACGATTCTCGTCCGAGAACGCGTATATAATACGCCCTGTCATGTTTACATGAGTGACACATCCGAGAGGAATGGCATTCTAACTTGAAAACTTCTGAGGAACGGTTGGGCCTGAATAAGAAAGAAGGTATTATGTCGGCTGTTTCGCGGCATTCATTGCCGGACAGCGTTTCGTGACGTGGCTGATGGGGGAGGCTCCGTGAATTTCCAAGCGCCTGGTTAAATTTCGCCAAGTTCCCATAGAAGTTCTGACTTATGGAACGACGAAGGCCTGAATGGACCTCCGTGCAACGCAGAAACACGCGATTCGGGGGAAGGAGGAGCTGATAAGTTTCGTCGAAGTTAAGTTGCCGTTTAATGTTTCGTGTTTGATTTATAGTGTGAAATCCAGCTAACGGGATATCTCGTCCTCCATGGCCAAGAACGAACATTTCACGCTCCGTACTGTAGAAATATTTTTAGAAATTAAACGTACATTTTGAGAGAATCGACACAAATTTCTAAGTGATTGAACAAAAACAAAAATGATGTCTCGACGTTGACTTAAGAATCGTAAATACGCTTCTAATAGATTTAAAAAGAAAAAAAGAAAAATCTTTAATTCCATGCGAGAGAGCGGATTAAAGCATCAAGTATCGGAAAGAACATTGAAAAGTTAGCCGCGTATTCGTACAATGGTGTTCGAATGAAACGATCTCGTCCCCCGTTCGAGTCGGTATATTTTCATTGGAAATATTTTTACTTTATTTCCATATTCCCGCTTGTTCCCGCTTTACGATTCTTTGACAGCCGCGGGGCCATAAAATCCGAGTGGTATTAAACGATTTCTCGAGCACGGTGACGGTAGATCAATCGGAAGGAGGGAGAACGATCGCATATCCTTCGGATGCGATCGTTGGACACAGCCGAATCCTTCGCTTAGTTCCGCTTCGACAAGAGCGAATGGCTGGTTTGTCGTAAAACGGGCGGGCGTGCGATGAGAAGGCTTTCGCGAGATATTAAATATTCAAGAACGTCAAATCGAGTCCACATTATCCTCTTATTCCGCGAGAAGGTACTCTCGCGTCTTTGAAGCTGCCACGCCTCGTTGCTCTCGAGGAGGCGAATCGACGGATCCCTTTTTAGTACGTACGAATCGAAAAATATTTGTCACCGGCGAAGATCAACAAAATCTAGCGAGTAAAGAGACATAGGAAGAGGAAAATATAAAGAGCAAGAGAGAGGCAGAGGGCAAGGAGAATTTCCTTCCGCGTTCCGTCGCGCGACTGTCAAGGTAGAAATTTTTCGACTTTTCCGCTTGTTTTAAAATGCGTTTTCACGCTTTCTCCCCCTCTCCTTCCTCCCCTAACCTAAACAGTGGAACGTCCCCTCGTGACGCCCTAATTTTGCCGTTTGCCACGTCTTCACCGGTGCGATATTTCTCCCGGTGTAATATTTTTCGATGAAAATAAAAATGATTTAGCGGAGACGTGAGTTACGAATCTCTTGGCCTAATTGAACAAACAGCACGTTCATCAAACAAGAGAGAGGGCCCCAGCGAAAGAGAGGGGAGCGAGAGGAAAAAAGAAGCAAAGATGGAGGAAGAGCGAGATGTCGACTTAAAAAATTCAACAATTACGTCGACCCAATTTCCACCTCTTTTAATCGTTGGACGTTGTTACGCGTCACAGGGATGAAATATTAACCACGTTCTCGCGCCGCTCTTTCAACGGCTAAGAAACGCAATTCACGGAGATCATTAGATCGTCATTACGAGCTCTAATTGCGATAAACTAACCGTCCCAATTGCTTCTCAACATCGATCCACGGGCTCGAAAGGCAACAGTTCCCATCCAGCCCGGCGCACGCGAGCATGCGAGTGGCAAGTTAATTGCGCCCGACTCTTGCCATTTTATTATTCCGAGTTATCCTCTTTTTAGCCGTGGAAATAATCGAAACTCGCTACACGTACGCCGCCAGCACGACGACGAGCGAAACTTTCTTTCTTCTCGCGATATCATCAGGCTCTTCTCCTTTCCTTCGGCTGGAAACATCGGCCAGGCACCAGCCCACTAAATTATACCCAATATCCACGCGGCGTAACCCTCACTTATTCCCGCCGGTTGAACGCACGGTGCACAAAACATCGAGATCTCATCATCTCGCTCTCGCGAGGCCGAGACGGAGAAGCCACGAGTCGATTCCTCGCCACTGGCTCCGGATAATGTCTTACTTAGAGCCACGCGAGCCTCGCGCCGCTGTTCTTTTATTCTACGAAATCCACTTAGTTCCGCGTTTCGTTGCCGCGCCGACGTGAATCAAATTAGAAACATCAAAGCGAGAAACGCAATTTCCAAAAGGTACACCGAGAGGATGATCTCATTTAATTTCTCACCCTCCGAACTCGAGACACAACGGCTACAAACAGAATGATATTTCACCCTCGCGGGGCCGTGCCTCTTTCTTTCTCTCGATCGTATCGAACGGAAGATGAATCGAAGGGAGAAAATAGGAATAGTTGCCTATTTTAGTGTAATAATCACGGAAAGATTCTGGCTACATGAGCATAACGTTGACCTGATTCTTAAACG